GTGATGTAGTAACTCGAAGTCGAAGTCTTCTAACGCTAACTTGTGGTGGATTTCACAGCCAAATCCTTCCAGCATGAGTACAAGCACACTATTAGAGGTATTTGGTCACATGGTGGTCAGTTTTACGAAAGGCGTGATAGCGTTTTACAACCCAGATGAACCAGAGTTCACGTCAGAGTCCTTGGGCTACAATCCATTAGAAAGTACAGGTCGAGAGTGGGACTATCATCCCTTGGATGAGTTCATTTATCAAGAATACAGCGATAGAGGGCACACACCTGGCTCCTCTTATATACCGTCAAGAAATATTGCTGTAAGAGTTATAGACGCTTGCTCACCCGAAGAAAAGGAAGAAACACGAGGTGAACAGCGAGGAGATGACAGAGCAATGGCTTGGAAGAGTTTCAGACCTTCCACTTGTCACACAATTTGGAAATCACTGTATACTGGAACTTTGATTTCATTACTAACTGCAGCAATCATCGGCTCTCTATTCTCGTCGTTCACTTATCTCTCTTACGAAACTGTACTCGATTGTCCGTTCCACTCCATTGAGTCAATTCCGTCACAGATACAATGGATGAAATGTATATCCGGGATCTTATCTTCTGCCTTTGTATACATGTGGTTCCCTGTGAGTATGTTACTTCTATTTCGTCCTTACCAGTTAATCGGAGTGAAAATGAAACTGGCGCTTGCTGCTTTCTCAGTGTATTGCTTGGATACCCTTTATCGTGTTGGACTACAGGCCTTTGAAGTTTTACAGTCCAAGGCATTCACATCACCGAAACTTCCGCTCAACTTTCTGTTTCTTCTTAGTGTATGTTTGCAAGTTTATCTTGTAACGAGCCACTTCTCGGTCAGCCTTTCGAGGAGGCAACGAGTTTATTTATTCTTACAACTGATTCTTCCAAGCTGTTTCAGTTACATTGTTACTTTCATTACAATTTACACAATTTACCCGGCATACAATAAACAAAAAAATGAAGGTAAATTACTGATTGCCATCCTCGCTCCTCTGGTTGGATTTGTACTCAAAGTAATTTGTAGGATTTCTGTTCAGCGGCTAAGGAACGTTACACATCCGGGATATTCATACGTATTACTGGCGCCGCTGTACTTCGGATCAGCGATTGTGTTTCGAGTTTTACAAGCAGATCTAGACAGTTTGCGATCTATGGCTATTCTTGGAATAGTTCATGGAATTGCGGAGGTCTTAGAACGA